TCGCTCGGCCTCCGTTCTTGACGACTCTGTTCGACTGAAATGTATTGCTACAGTCGGCGAGACGCCAAGGCGAAGCCGTGCAGAGCTCGCAAGGCTAAGGTGGATTGCGCGGCAGGCACGGGCTGCGAGACTGACTCGCTCTGCTCTTGACCCTCTCACCGCCATGTCACAGCATGGTTTTATTACCAATAAATGTTCTAACCCCGAAATTGTGTTATCAACACCGCTTCAATGGCATTTCGCGGGCCCATAGGGTCCAGGGTTGATTGGATTCGTCCTCGCTGTCGTCTGCCCGTCTCCTTTACCGTGTGAATGCTCTTCGTAGCCGAACGATCCGCGGCTTCGCCGTCACGTGACCAATCCGCGTGCGGATCGGTCCGTCGTGTGAATCGGCCTTCAAGGGGAAGAAGCAAAGCTGAGGGGATGAGAATCGCGACGTCACATGTCTCGTCGGCCATGTTCAATCGTGCATTTCTCCAAAAATACGGCTATCCGTTAGAGATGTCGCTGTATGAGTGATGTTTTTCGGTTTGCAGCGTCCGACCTATCGCTCCCCCCTTGTTTTGTGAGCCCCAAATATCGGTTCAGCATCCCTTTAAAAGGCAAGACTGCCGCAAATCAAGCTATCATGCACAGATTCGAACACATTGCTGTAATAGTGTATTCGCACGACGGAGTTTCTTCCCGAGGAGAAGGATAAACGTCATCGAGTTTTGGGGTCACGTGCTTCGCGTCACATATGTTCGCTGATCCTCCGAGCTCGCGGCATGCTCGTGGGTTCCCGAGGAGAATCTGTGACAGGTCTACAGAATATCCGCCGTTCCGTCGGTATCCGTCGGAGCAGTCGGGCCTACTCTTTTGTCCCCCTGCTTTTGGGGAAGGATAATGATGAATAGCTTTCAAGTATGGGGTGTCTTTTCTTTATTATTTTCCCCTGCTTTTTGTTCAATGAGCCCCCGAAAGTCGCCAACAGGTTTGCGAAAAGAAACACTCCGGCAACCCAGCTACATACGACTCCGTCGTGCGAATGCTAGCTTGGATTTTCTGCCCTGCCTCCTCCTTCTCTCAGCTCTATGACCTACTCGGTTTTCTCCGTGGATAAAGATCTCTCGTGCGAATACACCATAATCAACTGTGTACAACTAAGTCAGGTTTCGGGATAGTCAGGAATGAGCACTCACTTTTTGACAGGTCCGGGAGGGTCAAGGAGCAACAGCGATGCCGACGGTGCAGTAATGCAATCTCTCGAGGGAAGCGAGCAGTAGGCTTACGTTACCCAGTGCGTCATACCGACCATGTGGATTCAAAGGCCGTCAAACATGTCCTTCAACTCATGGTGGTGATGTCGGTTATTTACAACGCGCTGCCGGTGCTGCTACGCCTGCTCGCGACCTGTGCTCGCGACCACCTCCCGACCGAGCGACATTTTTTTGGGGCGAAGTTGCCAGGATGCGGCCCAAAAGTCGCCATTCTTTGGCTACTTTGGCGAAAAGTCGCTGAGTGGTGATGATGATGATGATGATGACCTTTTTCGGATTTGTTTTTATTGTATAAGACGTAAAATTTTCTTTTCTTTTTTTTTTTTTTGTGACGAGGTAAGTGATTAGTTGGGCTTGGCCGTCCCATTTCCAAAGGACTGGCGAACACCTTGAGTGACTCAAGGATTTGGCGAGAAGATTCTGGTCCATGAACAAAACAGCGGAAGGCTGTTCTGCTTCATCCTTATCGAACAAAACCCTCGCTTCAACACGCATTTTTTTTTGACGATCACAAAGGATTTTTTTAAACACATGATAATCCCGGAAAAATGGGGTGGTTCTAAAGTGGTTCGGGGTCGGAGAACGTCACCTCCAAGGCTGTCCCCTGGAAGAAGCCGGAGAGCTATCCGACTGACATATTTTTCCCCCGTCCACGTAGCTTGATTTATAACGATTTACATAGTTACACATAGTTTACATAGAATCTAGTTACACACGCTGCAATAAATAATAAAAACAACTCAGAAATGTCTCATTTATGTGTTTCGTGCACATGTTATGCGTGTCGCATACAATCCTTGCCCGCACTTTCAAGGGGCGATGCAACGATTTTTGTACTTTGCGCGAATACCGCTTACAACGGATCCCTGACGTTAATGTGAAACACCCGTTCGTTTTACACCGCACGCAATCGAAGTCGCAGAAAAAATTAAAGAAAATGAGCAGCGTTCTCTCCCTCAACTCGCAGCCAAAACAAGTGGCCACGTGATCTGGATCCGATTATGTGCCGCCAATGTTGATCATAGCCACACGCTGGGGTCGGCAGAGCATAGGACACGCGCTGAGTTCCAGACATTCTTATGGTTCGGCTACTGTCGTTATTGCAGCGATTGGACACGGGCCACTACCCGAATGCTTCTCGAGCTAGTAATTATCACGAGCCCAAATCAAGTGCCCACGCAACGCTCGGCTCCAATCTATGAGCCGCATTCAAATATCGTCACTGGGAGATACTGCGACCACCGAGCTTTGTCATCAAGTTTTGCGAAGGAGAGATTGAATGAAAACGCTCGCTTTTGTCCTTGGAATTACACCGCAACAAAGCAGTTTCTTGGCCAGTGGCGTTGCGTCCGAGTATCCTGGAGTCCCACTAGTGCCAGTAAGCTCGTGTGAAGTGAAAAACATTCCAATTGAATATCGCTGCACCGCCCCTTAAGGCCGGAGGCACGCGGTTTAAAGAAGCTCGTTTTATCGAACGCCCTTTTACCGACCCCGGTTTAAAGTTTAGAGAAAATGGCGATGAGCCTCCTTTTAGCGAATTCGGCCGCCGCGAAGCGGCGTGTACGGGTACATCAGGTGAGTTAACAGTTTTGTAATAAACCGCCGCAGACTGCCGCCGCGAAGCGGCGGAAGCCTAGCGGGGGGCATGGCTTAACATGTGCACCAGGGATACACGCGAGCAGTAGGAAAGCCTTTTTTTTAAAGAGCGTCCCCTTTTGAGATAAACGGTGTTTGTCTAAACGGAGGCTCTGCTTTCTCTAAACCGTGCTTCGATAAAACGTGCCCATTCTCTAAAACGTACTTCGATTAAATGCATTCGATCAACCGTAGTAAACCATCCTTTGTTTTCTCCAACACGTGCTGCAAGTGTATACAAGCGGCTTGGGTGTATCCGGTCCACGCTTCCCTACTTGCGAGTCGCAGAGTCGGCAGTTTGACACCGCTTCTGCTGAACGGGCGCACGCAGACTGCCTTCTAGGCTTCTAGGAGTATGATTGCACGGCATGACCTTTACAAAATAGAGCGTGTGGCCGGTGCCATCTTGAGTGTTCGTGCTCGCTTTCCGAAGCGGCGAACACGCGCGTGCTGGGCTGTGAAGATCGTGCGCTGGGCTCTGCACCCCGTGCCATCTTGAGTGTTCGTGCGTATGGCTCGTGCTTTGCTCGTTCTCCTCCAAAGCGGCGAACACGCACGTGCTGGGCTGTAAGCATTGAAAATATGTATAAACATGAAAGACATATGGTTTACAAGAATCACTATTAGAAGAATCAGCTTTGAATTTAGGGCGTTTGGTGCCGCTCGCCGCTCGATCTGGAGCCGCCGCAGCCGTGGATAAGTTCATTTACCCATAGCTCTTCTCATTAACCACTCCCCCTACGCCCTCATGATTATCAAAAAATCATGTTGTACCCTTTTCCTGTAAATTCCTGCTAACATCATAAACAACCCCAACTATCACTTTCATATTAAAAATAGCGCAAAATGGACGGGACGAGAGACGAAGAAGCGCACAGGACAAGCGCTACAGAGGTAACACGTTTGATGCAAATAAAGATTATCTTTTATTATTAATATTAAATGCTGCCCCGGCCCTTGTGGCCGGTGCCATTTTCAGTACGCGCGCTTTGCTCACTTTTTCAGGCGAAAAAACATGCCCGTGCTGGGCTGCGGATTTGTAAAAAGTTAGCAAGACTACGCAAGCCGCAGGAGGGAAGCCTTGACGGACAATCTCGCTACACGATCTCTCGTGGACTTGCTGAGGCGTGACGAAGTGTAATGATCGTGCAGTTTACGTAACGTGCATCGATGGAGCATGAAAGCTATCCATTCCCAAAGCGTGTGTGAAAAGCCGAGTGTGGGCTAGATGGGAAGATCTCAGGGGAAATCCAAAAAGGTTGAGTAGAGAAGCGTGGGCTCGTTTCGACGAAACGATACGTCGATGGCACATTGCAGTGTCAGCGAACTGACCCATGTCAGTAAAATTTAGTTTTCATCAATGCGCTTCTCAGCAAAATGTAGATAGCCGTCGTGGGGTATCACGGTACCACATCTACACAACGATGAACATCACACGTTGTTCTGTTGAAATCAAGCTAAAATGCCTCAAAGTCAAATGTCAGTTCGGCAAGCCCTTGAATCAGCAGTATACATAGCATAAAAAACATTTTTGCAGAAACCACTACGCTGGTTGTCTACGATATGCGAAGTAAGCATTGTGTATGCAGACGCATGACGTCACCTACCAGAGCACCCATTTTGTAACGATGCCAAATTTTCCATCTCGCCCTCGCCCCCCTCCCCCCCCCCCCCCCCCAAACGGCTACACCATGTCCTCACCCTTTTCCCCCTTAACCTCGGGTGCGAGCCCACAGTTTGACACAGTGCGCACTGCGCATGCGTTATCTGCCCACTTCGAAGAGCGCGTGAATGTGAATGGAGTGCGTACTGCCGCTCCGTAGTACTGCGGTACTGCTGCTCCGTTGACACGCCGCTCCTTCTTTTGTTACGGGACAAGATAGTCGCGATGGAGGTATCTAAAGAATTCTTCGCATTAATTACTGCAGTAAATAATTTTCACATGAATTTGTCACTGCATAAATGAAAGTTATAACTGAATGTTGTGCATGTTAAGTGGAATAGTTTAATTTTGCACAATATATTGTGGCAACACTGATTGTGAGCCCAGCTACCTAGCCAAGCCAAGGCAGGCTAGCAGCCAAAACAATTAGACAAGGCAGCAGCACGTGTGCGCGCTTTTATCCCCGTAATCCCGTAGTCAATCTCCTGGTGGTCCCTTTGTTGGCGTAGTAGGCTGGACTTAATTTGTTCGTAAGTGCGTACTTGTATTGCTTGCATCATGAGCCACGTTCTGGTCAGGTGGCTTAACACGGGGAAGGCCCGCATGTGGGACGTGGTCGCGGTACGAGATATAGTAGACACAAGGGTAGGAGCGACCATTCTCCAAAACTCCAAGGATTCGTCGGTGTTGAACACTAACGTCCACGTCCGCTGGGAAGGAGAGAAGCATCCTGCAATGATCGTTGCCGTGGGTAAGTTTGCTCCGATTACTTTGTAAAACGCCCGAATTTCTCATGCGAATTGGAGGTGTTCAAGTTGTACTTATTCTTTGTTTTTAACAGGAAGCTTAACTCAAATGGAGAAAAGGTGCAGGATAGAAATAAAACAAGGAACCTGCAATGGAGCGTCAGGAAGCGGCAACCCGGTAAATATACCCGTTTATCATACATAGCTTGCACTGCCGTGATTTGGGCCTCCCATGCCGGCGACTATAAACTTATGCGAGCGGACTTCCACAGGGTGTATTAAAATAAAGTTTGGACTCTAAAATTGCCCGCTAAAATAACGGACCCAACGTATCACGTAGAAACCTGCCTCGAATACTTCTTTTGCTGGTCGGATTTACGCATTAAAATTCAAGTCTCGATTAAAAATACAATACAAAAACAGCCCCAACCGTGGCAGTTTTTTTGTTTTTTTTTTTCTTTTTTTCGTGGGAATTAGACATTTGGATTTTTTATGTGTAACTAGGAATAGTAAAATACGTATTCGAGGCAAGTTTCTACTTGATACATTCAGTCGCAGAGTTTTGACGGGCCGTTATAGTGGCTTGTAACTTTTTTTTGAGACACTCCAAAATAAGGGGCTCAACCTATCAAGTTGAAACTCACCCTAAATACGTATTTTACTAGTTCTCCTTGTACAACTCGCCTCTAATATCTATTTTTCTAGTCTCATTTACACATTAAAATTTCAAGTGTCTACTTTAGGTAAAAAAATAAAACATCTAATCCATTTCAAAGCATCGGGCATTTGTTTTTTTATTGTACTAGGATTAGACTTAAAATTTAATCCGTAATCCGACCAGTGAAGACATATTCAAGGTAAGTTTCTACTTGATACATCGAGTCCCTGATTGTTGCGAGCGATTTTAGAATCGAAACTTTAGTTTGAAACAGCCTGTGCATTGTGTTCATTCTTCACTGCAGAGGTAGCACTTACGAGGGGTCCCTATCGTTCCACTGACACTCGTTTCATCGACACGTCTCACCGACAACTTTTAATCGAAGGACGTTTCAGCAACAGACCTTTTATCGACACTCGTTATGCGAACCCCACGGTGCTGTGACATTTCATCAACATTTGTTACATTAATATTTCATTGCCCATGTATCACTAAGGCACGTGTTAACCTACCCGGCCCACCCCGTTCACGCTGCTTTGCTGCAACAGTCTGCGGCGGCTCATTGCAAAAATGTGAACCCACCTGGCCTTCCCGTACACGTCACTTTGCGGTGGTTGTGCAGGTGGGCCCGTACCCGTGCACGCCTATACTTGTGCCCTTGCTTACCAGCAAACCGTTGCACCCTTAACAATAAAAAAAAAGGTTGACGATACGTAGCAAGATATGTCGATGAAACATTGCAGTGTCGATGAAACAAACTGTCGGGGAAACGTTCGATGAACTGAGTACCACCACTTACAAGCTATTGATCTTTGATGGCAGCGGCGTTTGAGCCTCAGGGTAAGTTCAGTGTGGTGCAAGCGCAGATCTCATCCTCAGCCCCTATCCAATTCCTCTGAGCATTCAGCAAGTGGCACTGGCAATAGTGGAAGCCGTCTGCTTCTGCAAGTGTTTCGGCATGAATCACTTGGACTAAAGAATGTTTTTTGTAAGCTAATACTTAATGCTGTGCAGATCGTTACTATTCCTCTGAGCAACATGCACAAATGGAGTGCTTCAGAGTGTTAGGCCCCCAGTTTACACTTGCTGAGGCTGGTGTTGGAGGCAGGGACGTAGCCAGGGGGGGGGGGGAGCCCATGGGGCCCGCCCCCCCCCCCCCCGAGATCTTCCATTTTGCTGGGACCTCCTCTCCCCCCTCCCCCTTATACAGTATTTTGTCATGGGTGCCCCCCCCCCCCCCCTTTTGAAACGAAATCCTGGCTACGTGCCTGGTTGGAGGCATGGGCATGTTGAGAAATGGAAGAACTTCATTCCTTATAATGCAACAGTTTTTTTTCAACATTTCGATGTTCTACACACAGTGTATGCGATAGTCTTGCTGCCTGTCCATCTTCCCAGCAAACAGTTCCAGTAGGAGCCAGAATGCACCACCAGTGCCATCCTCTTGTCGTGCGCTTCCCATAAATTTATTGATATATGGTTTGAAAGTTTAGTTTCAGGAGCTTACAGCAGAACTGAAACTACCGACTTAAACACGACAGCACAGCAACGGTGACATCACTTGAGTACCGTAGCATGCACAGCTGGCTGAGCCCCAGTAGTATTTTCAGAAATAGTGCTTAGGATACCGTTCCATTTTGTTGATAATGACTATGTCAGAAATGTTGGTGCCTAGTGTAAGCGACTTAACTTTCACGTAAACCCAATTTTTGCGAATTTCGTGATAAGATCAAAATTGCAAATAATTGGTCACGCCAATAAGTCACCCGATGGATACCAAAACATGCATATTACTCCCAGTTTCAAACTTTTGTCCCCGCAAAATATTCCCGAAACCAGAATTGCACATAATTGGGCCCGCAAAAATAGTAATTTACAGCATTTAACAGACTGCAAAAAAGTGGGTCCGTCCGCACTTGACCAAAAAGATTATTGCATTGAATGAAGGCATACACATTTTTTTTGCTTCCTACTCGCTTTTCTCTTGCTCAAGGTCAAGAACATTGGGAGTCGGATGTTATCTGAAACTGAACTAAAAAATGCCGCATCCTGCTCATGCAATTGATTGTGTGGGGATTGCTTCAGGCGCATGAGGCTCACATGTTAAGAATGCTTGCACGCCAGCTTTCTGGACTTACTGTGTGTTACAATGGGCAACAAGTTCAGCACATAGTATACCATGCTTACCGTAAAATCCCGAGAGATAGCCCCACTAAAACTGAGAGCAAATCGAGTGAAAATATGACGTGTGCTAACTTTCGGTGTTCAGTAAAAATGTATCGCAGCCAAAGAACGAACACGCGTTTATTAGCACTGTATTTATTCGTCGTCAAAACCGTCCAACGAACAGTCGCTCTCACTGTCAAACAAGAGGTCGACCACCTCCTCATGCACGGAGTTCGACGTGGTTGGCAGGGCAGCGGAAGGAGGGACCGCCGAAGCGAGCCGCTCATGAAGCTCTCTGTCTTCTGATCCATCGAGGGCTGTTGATATACTGCACCGCTTGAAGGAGCGGGCGACAACTTCCTCGCTCATGGCCGCCCAAGCCTTAGAAACGAAGTACACAACATCTTGTCGAGATGGCTTCTTGAGGTTGCCCTTGGGCGTTACTGCCCCAGCTTGAATGAAGCTTGCCCAGGTCTCCCAAAGGCTGTCCTTAAAGGGTTTCATCCAGCTGACGTCAGCTGGCTGCACTATCGATGTGCAGCCACTTGGAACAAACACCACGTCGGTGTCCTTTGCTGCAAGGGCCTTGCGGGCGGCGTAGGTCTTGTGGATTGGGGCCTGGTCCAGGGCGAGCAGGCGCCGGACATCATCTCTGTTTGGACCCTAAATCCGTCGCACCCACTTCAGGAGCACATCAAATGTCATCCAGCCATATTTAGAGAATGACAGTCGCACGTTGGCTGAAATGTAACATATTGGAGAGCAGATAAGATACAAACGCGAGCACACAGGTGACGTTACGGGGCCAAGGGCTAAGTATGCTGCTGGGCCTAATCGCCTAACGCTACGCCGCAAAGCATAGAACGGAAGCGAAAATACCGCGGAAAACAGACCGTAATAGTGAACGAGCTAAACATTTTCTTAGTTTGAAAAATAAAAAGTATTACTGTGCTTGTATGAATGGTTTTGCAATTTAAAAAAAAAAAAATAATTAAATCATACCTGGAACGCTGAGGGCGAACAGCACTTTCGGAGGGAAACGGCCGGTCGGCTCTTTCAGGACTATAAATGCCGGGAGCTTAAAGGAGCAATGCAACAATTTTTGTACTTTGCGCAAATACCGCTTAAAACGGATCCCTGACGTTAATGACCTATAAAACACGCGTTCGTTTTTCACCCCACGCAATAGAAGACTCAGAAAAAAATTAAAGAAAAATGAGCAGCGATCACCCCCTCAACTCGCAGCCAGAACAAGCGGCCACGTGATCTGGAGCCGATTATATGCCGCCAGTGTTGATCATAGCCACGCGCTGGGGTTGGCAAAGCGCAGGACACGCGCTGAGTTCCAGACATTGTTATGGCTCGGCTGTTGTCGCCGTTGCAGCGATTGGACACGGGTCACAACCCGAATGCTTCTCGAGCTAGCAATTGTCACGAGCACAAGCCGAGTGCCCACGCAACGGTCGGGTCCAATCTATGAGCCGCATTCAAATATCGTCACTTGGGTGTACTGCAATCCCCGAGTTACGTCATCAAATTTTGCAAAGGAGAGATTGAATGAAAATGATCGCTTTTGTCCTTGAAATTACACCGCAGCAAAGGAGTTTCTTGGCCAATGGCGTTGCGTGTGAGTATCCTTGAGTCCCTGGTGTGCCAGTAAGCTCGTGTACAGAGAAAAACATTCCAAATGAATATCGTTGCACAGCTCCTTTAATCCCCGCCGCAGTCGCACACAACGCCACCGTAAACCCACAACGGGAGCATCCAGTGCTTGCAATCTGGATGCTTGCTTCCCCGGCAATGTTGTTGGTTCGCGTTGCGGGTAGGTCCATTCGCACCGTCGTCTGGTCCATGTTGGCAATGAAGAAGTCACTGTAGTCGTGCTGGAGGCGCAGCATACTCCAGCATGACTACAGTGCCGATGCGAGCTTCCGTGCTTGCTCCTGGAGCACACGGTTACTAACCGCCCTGCCCGCCGCCGTCTCTTCTTGTAGAAATTCAAAAAGTATGTCGTCGATCTCCTCGGAAAACACAGGTCGACCGCTGTTCAAAGACCGCTTAAACTTTCCTTTTCCGTGACACTCCTGAAGGAGAGTTTCGTTCTTGGAGTTCCACTGCCTTACTTGCTTACTATCCAGCCCAAATGGGCGTGCGGTCCTACTCAAGTTGCTGCCAGCCTTTCGGTGCCACCGGACCACCTTCACTTTCTTCTCCACGGTGAAGCTTTGCCGCATCCTTCCGTTCTTGCTTCGCAACGAAAGACGAATGACCAGAGTGTTCGGGGATGCGTGGTAGTCACATATCGGATTCGTGCGGAAAAGCAAAGGTATTTCCCAAACAGGAGATAACTGGAAGGGGAAAATATTTCGCTGCGGTTTTATATGTGTGCGGGCTGCATTGTCAACCCAACGGCGCACGTGTTATTTTTAGATCCTGTGACCTTTTATCGCAGCCAGGGTTCAGCAACCCAAGGGGCAACCCAAAGGACCGCCATGTTTCCCCGCATCCCTACTTTGCCAGTCACGTGATTTCAAAATCCCTCTCCAAGGCACTGCGGCTAACTTTAACCACGGTTAGCGCTCCGAGCAAACGGGCCCAGGTGGTGTGATCAAACGATTGGGCGTGGCAAACACGTCGTTACCAGAGTAGAGGGTGAGGAGGTTAGATTAGGTAGACTGTGTGGAGAGGGGGAAGGGACAATAGAGACTGGCTGAATGGACCCAAGGGGGTCCATTCAGCCAGTCTCTATTGTTAGGTTATCTCCCACGCACCCTACCCACGCCAGCTAACCTCTTTTTCGCGGACGTCACCCCCGGCTGGGATGACGCTTTTGTCAGGGGTGGGTTATCTTTGTGTTTTTGAAGAAATCGAAAATCGTGCCAAAAACAGGGGTGGGTTATCTTTCGGGGTGGGGCATCTCTCGGGATTTTACGGTAGTGCATTTGACTGATTAGATATAATGCTAATTCTATTGGGCATTTTTTTGTCCGGACGCTGCTGTATGTTGCATGGCTTCCAGTGCATACCGTCGACCCACTGGTACAGCAGGAAGAATGTGGTGTCGCTGGAACAGCTGCACCATATTCTTTCTCAATCTCGCAGTCAACATCCCAGTAGACGTCAAGTGTAAACCCTGTTCATAGCCAAGTGACCACTGCAGACTGTAACGGTACTTGTCAGGTGACCCTAGTAACGGAAAGCACAGCTCAGACCGCTCCTTTGCACACCCTTGCAGTCTTAGCTCCCTCAAATGTATGCTTGCTCACTACTTCACACCCATGTTTAGAGCCAATGGGTACTCAGCGTCACTCGCTTAGTGTGAGTTTTCTTCTGTCTTTGACTTGGAAGAAACTAGCGGAGAAAAAGATAGCTAGGGACAGGGTCACTTTGGGTAGGTTATGTCCAAAGTTTCATGAGGGTTGCCTGGTCACTGGTAATTAGAAGTGTTTTCCACCTAGGAAAAATGAGGCAGGATATGCTCAGATACCTTGTTATTTATGAGAAGAGCAGCTCATATCATTTTTGTGAACACTTCATCAATGCAAGCATTATTTTTCAGCTGGAACCATGTGAGAGCTGTGCCACACTGGAAGAAGAGAACAGATCAATGAGGGCTCGTATTCAGCTTCTGGAGGAGGAGAACAGCAGGGTGAAAGCCACCCTTGATTACTTAACGGCCCAAAGGGATGGTATTGAAGGTGAGTAACACTATACATTGCCTCAAATTGTTTACTTTATGCCTGGCAAAAGCTTTTTTAACATGAAGCATTCTTACCCTACTTTGGCAAGTTTCACGTGCCGTGCAGCAGTGCGGCCGGCAGTGAAGCCATACCACGCGATCAGAGGAGAGCAGGGCCTGTTTGCTTGAAGCACTAACCGCGGCTAAAGTTAGCCGAAGTACGTAGGAGAGGGATTTTAAAATCACGTGACTGGGCTTGGTAGGGATACGGGAAAACATGGCGGTGCCCAGCTGAGTGAGCGCCGCTCGCTTTGGAAATAATATGTCGTTGTAGCTGCAATATCGGTCGCGTTAGTCAGCAATGAATGCTGCAGGAGGCTTTTGCTTTGCCTTACCTCACTTAAATCGCAAAGCATGAGCAATGACCTCGCCGCATTTTTTTTTAATAGTTTTTCGATTCTGGCTATTCCTAAGCCTAAATGAGCACAATAATTGTCGGCATGGAAACGTCTTTGGAAAGAGGATTGCCTTGACTCAATCGGCCGGGTATTGATAGCACACAAAAGCAGACAGCGTCCCAATAGATCTTTTTATAAATTTCCCAAGCATCAAGGTGCGTGCTACGAGTGTAGTTACACGCGTTGCACGTGCTGGCGTCTGCAGTAGAAATTGTTCTAAAGCAAAAAGTCTAAAAACAAATTTTGCTTTGCGCGTGCATTCATCAAAGCCTTATTATGATTATTTACTTCGAATCTGTTATAAGGGGAAGGCCGGCGCGCGCGGTCCGGCCGATTGAGTCAGGGCAATCCACTTTCCAAAGGCGTTGCCATGCCGACTATTATCGCGTTCATTTAGGCTTAGGAATGGTCAGAATTGAGACTATCTAAAAAATGTGGTGAGGTCATTGCTAATGCTTTGCGATTTAAGTGGGGTAAGGCAAAGCGAAAGCCTCCTGCAGCATTCATTGCTGACTAACGCGCCCGATATTGCAGCTACAATGACTTATTAGTTCCAAAGTGAGCGGAGCTCACTTAGCTGGGCACCGCCATGTTTCCCCGCATCCCTACTTTGCCAGTCACGTGATTTCAAAATCCCTCTCCAAGGCACTGCGGCTAACTTTAACCACGGTTAGCGCTCCGAGCAAACGGGCCCAGGTGGTGTGATCAAACGATTGGGCGTGGCAAACACGTCGTTACCAGAGTAGAGGGTGAGGAGGTTAGATTAGGTAGACTGTGTGGAGAGTGGGAAAAAGTAGAGGGTGAGGAGGTTAGGTAAGGTGTAGAGAGATGGAGAACTTGAAGCGAATCGATGAGCAATAGACGATTTGCAATTTTCCCAAGCGCCCCGGCCCGCGCGCGAGGAATTGTGGGAGAGACTGTTCCTCGCCTGGCCGCCCTGCCTTGCGATCGCATTGCCTTGTCGCTTGCCTCCTCTTAATCCTCTGTTTTTCGATTCCGTTACCTATTTTTATCTGTTCAAGTGTATTTTTTATTGCTTCTAAGTGTTTCTAGTCTCTTCTGCACCCAATATTTCTTGTATATATAAAGTATTTGTGTCTTTATTTTGAACAAGCTTAACCACTGATGCAAGAGGGTAATCAATCTCATTGGGCAAAGAGCCTAGTAGTTGAACTGAATTTCTTCTTTCTTCAAGATTTTGCCTAGTGTTGAGAGAGGCTTCATCAATCTCCCAGTGTTATTGCACGCTGTGTGGTCAGAGAGAAAGTCAGTTTCAAGTTCAGCCCTGTCGTGCGACTTTGCAGTATGTGTCACTTAAAAAACTTCGACTTGAAACTCTAACTAAGCTTTATTAAAAGCAAAAATCCCGACGTTTCAGGACCAACTCGGTCCCTTGATCACGGGTGACTGTTTTCGTCCCACGGAACGGCCTGCCCACGAACCCGAACCCACCCGCGTGCTCACCAGATTATCCCTCTTAACCCCGAAACATAGCTGCTGGGAAGGGTCCCCGTCGACCGGCTTACGTTGCCACGTGTGCATTGAATATGCCACGACTCTAAAAGAAGGTTTCTGTTAGAGCCAGTTTCTCTCCATTCCGAGGATCTGTTGTTGAGGTCGATGGAGTGGTTTGTCTTCTCGACGTGTTCAGCCAGCGCGCTTCCCTCCACATTCTTCTTCACAATGTCGTAGCGGTGGCGCCGCAGGCGCTCTGGACAGTTCTTCGTTTCCCCAACGTACAACGCGGGGCAGTCACCGCAAGGAATTTTGTAAACCAGTCCCTGTGCTCTCTCCCTCGGGGGGCGATCCTTTGGTAGGGGGAGAAGCCCGCCGATGGTCAAGACTGGCTTGTGTGAGACCGCTATGCCGTACTGTTGTAGTACTCAGGCGAGAACCCCGCTTGTGCCTTTGATGTAGGGTACACCCATGCTGGTGGGGGGAGGAGGGGCGTCTTGGGTTGAAGGGGTGCGTCGAAGTTTCTTAATTGTGCTGTTTACAAATTGTGGGAATGAAAGGAGGGAGGATTACGCACCTTTACGTCCGGGGACCTGTCCGGTCAAAGGGGAATCCGATGCCCGTCCCACCGCGCGGCCGACGGCCACCAGTGAGGGCGGTTGCCGCGCCAGGTTCGGCCAACCCCATGCCAACAACGTTGATCCCGGTATCTAACAGCGTTTATTGAGTACCAAGGGTTCCCAATAAGACACTGCGGTCAAGCGAGCCGTGGACACAGTGTGCCCGCAGCGCCCGCCGACCTGAGAGCCGAAGGGGTAATTGCGAGCGGAGTCATTGCCGGTAGGACGAGCTCACGCTGCTACCCGTCGGTGGAGGAGTTCGGGGGCCAGGGCTCTTGGCAGACGGACATCCACAGGTGGTGGGGACGCCGACTGTCAGAGCCAGGGGAATCACTAGCGTGGAGTCATCACCGGTCGGACGAGCTCGCGCCGCGACTCGATTCGTTGCCCAGCGTTCAATCCAGGACTCCTCGACCACACGGCCGTCCACTCGGAGGGCAGGCCACACTCTCCCCCGCGCGATCTCGCTGTTCCCCCGCAATCGGGGAGACGCGCGGAGGAGTGCGAGAAAGTAGGTTAGCATGGTGACGTATTTTCCCCGACAGGATACAGAGCGACCGGGCTCGAAGTCAGAGGGCTTCGGCCAGAACGTCCGCAAGCTCACGTCTTCTCGGGGAAGGGAAACCAGTAGCTCCCACAAAATCTAGCTGGGTAGCCATTCTTCCGCAGGTCTTGTTTGATTGTTTCAATCTCTTTTCGGAGCGTCTCCTCTGAGGAGCAGACCGTGATCGCCCGTCTGACGAGTGCCGAAGCCACGGAAGACTTATGTGTCCTAGGGTGGCTCCATGAAAAGGCCAGGTATCGGCCTGTGTGTGTCGGCTTCCTATACACATGGAAGTCCAGGCGGTCGGACTTTCTCACTGTACAGACGTCTAGGAATGGGAGACAGCCGTCTGACCCATGCTCAGTCGTGAATTGAATCGCTGGCGGGATGGAGTTTAGATCTGTATGGAGACGGTCGATCTCACTGGTCTTTACAGCGCAAAAGCAGTCATTGACATACCGCAGGAAACACACGGGTCCTGGGGAGAAAGTGTCCGGGGCTTTTCTCTCGATCGCCTCCATCGCGAGGTTTGCCACAGTGACAGAGACCGTAGCACCCATAGCCGTACCACTGGTTTGTCTGCCCAGCAAAAGAAAAATAAGTGCTGGTTAGGCAGAATTCTAGTAGACGACAAATCTCGTCCACTTCAAGGCACATTCTTTCAGAGAGCCTCGTGTCAGACGAGAGGGCCGTCCGCGTCACAGACACTGCCAGAGGCACAGGCACACTTGTGAAAAGCCCAAACCTAAGACGCCCCCCCCCCCTCCCCCCCACCCGCGTGTGTGCACCCTACATCAAAGGCACAAGCGAGATTCTCGCCCGAGTACTACAACAGTACGGCATAGCGGTCTCACACAAGCGAGTCTTGACCATCGGCGGCCTTCTCCCCCTACCAAAGGATCGCCCCCCCAGGGAGAGGGCACAGGGACTGGTTTACAAAATTCCCTGCGGTGACTGCCCCGCGTTGTACGTTGGGGAAACGAAGAACTATCCAGAGCGCCTGCGGCGCCTCCGCTACGACATTGTGAAGAAGAATGTGGAGGGAAGCGCGCTGGCTGAACACGTCGAGAAGACAAACCACTCCATCGACCTCAACAACAGATCCTCGGAATGGAGAGAAACTGGTGGAGGCGCCTTCTGTTAGAGTCGTGGCATATTCAATGCACACGTGGCAACGTAAACCGGTCGACGGGGACCCTTCCCAGCAGCTACATTTCGGGGTTAAGACGGATAATCCGGAGAGCACCCGAGGGTGTTCGGGTTTGTGGGCAGGGCGTTTTGCGGGACCAAAACTGTCACCCGTGATCAAGGGTCCGGGTTGGTCCCGAAACGTCGGGATTTTTGCTTTTATTAAAGCTTGGTCAGAGTTTCAAGTTGAAGTTTTTCAAATCATTCCTAACCAGATGGATGTCCGTCGAAAATGTTTACATTTATGTATGTGTCACTTTTAACCAAAAAGCAAATCACCAGCACGAAAGCTCGGTTGGCGCTGTCGGGGTAGGAACCGAACAGGACGGATGCATGTTGATGCTTCGAAGTCCTGTGGGGGGGTCTATAGAGCACTTAATAGATATGTTTATAGTGCCAGATATCTAAAATTTGCACTTGGCGCAAATTTAAAAAAGGACTAATTTATTTATTTGAAATACTATCGGTCCTACACAGGACCAAGATAGGAGTGGATTCTTACAACACAAAAAAATACACACGCTCAAAATGCACAGATTAATAACACGAATTTAACACAATGATGAAATGACAACTCTAGGTACTGCTGTCAGAAATCTCTGAAATAAGGGAACTAAACTCTTCTCGAGTTTCAGCGGTAACAACATGTGCGGGTAGCTTGTTCCAGTCTCGCGCTGTTTGTAAGAAGAACGAATACCTAAAACAGTCCTTCGAAAACTTCCGCTCTTCCACATACCGAGCGTGCTTGCTGCGG